TGAGTGTGTGGTAATTACCTTTTATCAACTCCAATTTCTTCTAATTTACTTTCAAGTGCACCTATTTCCCTCAGGTCGACAGCCAACAGATGGTAGTGTTTAGAGTGAGCTTCATTTCCATCTGGAGTTAAATAAGAATTCATGCTCACACATATAACCTGGGGTATAAACTAGATGTTATACATATACACGACTTGTATTGTACAGATAAACTTTTGTAACATAATATTATTGTTATATTATACTATTATTATAACATGCACTCTAGGTTCAAAGTGTGGGAAGAGCCGAGTAAAGCCTAGGTGTTGGGGTATTCCACTCAATAAATTAAAAAATTTATCTATATAGATACTTATTTCAAAAGATTAATTAATAAACTATTTTTAAAATAAATGAACGAATTACATTAATTTATTATAGGGCTTGTGCATGTAGCCAATATGACACAGTCTGATTGACTAATTCTAGGGCATTATTCTACCTTAATGCCTGGCATTACCAAAGCAAAAGCCATATAATAAATAACTTATTAACCTAAAACAGTCAGTCTGTAAAGAAAAAGAAAATGATGGAGACCTCCACCTCAATACATGATTATGAATTGTAACTGAGAGTGAACTACATGTATACCTTTTGTGAAAAGATTAAATATATATAACACAACATACCAATGTTCAGTCCATCATCTTGAGAAAATACCTCTTGGAGTTTCCTCCTGGCCCTTGAGAAAAAAGATCCCCATCAATAAATAAACCCTAGATTCCTTCATGTACATGTAGTTTAAGTTATTAACAGTAGATGAACAATGTATTTCAACTACACACAATACAGTCATGTAGACCCAAGGCATATACTTGTACATTAACTACAAACACATGATGTTTTTTATCAAGTGAGAGACAGAGTGAAATTTATAGTCCTGTATCGAAACTTCCTCTTTTACAGTGGTCATTCAAAGTAAGTTGATATCTCATGTACTTCTTGGAAGATGTGTCTCTTAGCACAATACACGAGAGTCATATCAGATGAGAAATCATCATTTGTACTGGTGCTGTAGAATTCCTTTTGTTCATCAAAACTAATCTACATTGTTTAAATCAGTGAATCTTGCCCACACAACTTGCTTGAGAAGTTGTCTGGCTTGATCTACATGTAGTTTGATCAGCCAACAAGGACGATTAAGTGTGACATGACAAGCCAGCCAACTGAATGGAAGAAGAGTAAGGAAATGATGAATTTAAAAACTTGCCTTATGCTGTAGCACTTTCTGCTGGTCACATTTCCAAAATCTATCTCAACAAACAGCTTTGGTGCTAAGCTCTCCTCCTTTACTTAGAAAATGAGATCCAGAACAGTTAAACAATGTTACCATACTAGAAAAGATTGCAATTAAATATTTATTTATAAATGCAAAAATTTCTAGATAATGATTTCAACACTCAGTACAACTAATGATAAATTTGAGACAATATTAAAAATACAGAAGGGCTAAGTAATTTATAACTACTTGTATATGTACTGAATACTAGTCAAAAAATCTAAAATCTTGGTTAAATTACAAATTTCTTGTTCCTGAAAAGCCCCAGTGAGTAGGTTCAATGAACTGTGTTGTCGTTGTTACATTTACCTTTAAGAGCCAAAAGAGAGAATCAAAGCCAGCTCCAAGATTGATAACCTGACAATTACATCTGGTCTGTGAAAGAAACTGGTCCAGCAGCATCCGCATCCCTTTGACACGAGCATAGTAACCTGCAAAGAAATATCAGTTCAAATTTATAATCTCCAGGTTTGGTATATTAAAAAAATAACTGAACATGACTGTATGATTACAGGTGGGGTGTTAAAATAACTTAGGAATTGATTGGCGAACTAAACATTAAACAAAAACCTCATCAGCAGCACCTTTCGTGTGATGACATAAGGTTTTAAAGGAGGAGATGAAAGGGATAGCTGGCAGCAAGGCAGGGAAATTTATGACTTAAATATATTACAGTATTTTATTTTAAAAATCTGACCC